TATTACTTTTTCCACATATGTCACTCTTGCTAACGGTTCCCAAACTAGTGTTGCAGGCTCGAGCGATGTCCATCTCAGTCCTAATATTGATCTGTCGACTATCTTTCATGTTCCTGGCTTTCCATTTAGTTTATTATTTATTAGTAAAATTTCCACATCTCTTCAGTGTTCGACGACATTTTCTCCTTCCATGTGTGTTTTTCAGGATCTCAAGACGAAAAGGATAATTGGTATGAGGCATGAAGTTGGTGGCTTGTATTACCTGAAGCTTTCACCAGTCTCCCCTATTCGAGCTCTCTAGTCTTTTGTTTTACCCATGTAGTGGCATTGTCGACTTGATCACCCTTCTCTATCTACTTTAAAATGCCAAGTTGTGAGTCTTTGTACTTTGTCATCCCTTGAATGTAAAGCTTGTCAGCTTAGCAAACATCACCGGGTGTCTTTTCCTTTACGGACTAGTAGTCATGTTTCTAGTTTGTTTGAGTTAGTTCACTCCGATGCATGGGGACCAATCAACATATCGTCTAATAAATTTTAGTATTTTATCACTTTTGTAGATGATTATTCTCGTATGACTTGGTTGTTCCTAATGAAAATCGCTCTGAGTTACTTTCTATTTTTTAAGTGTTTCGTACTTTAATCAAAACACAATTTAACAAAAAGATTTGTATTTTGCGTTCAGATAATGCCAAAGAATATCTGTCTACTTTTACATCCTATCTATCTTCTAAAGTCATTACTCATCAAACATCCCGTGTGTATACTCCACAACAAAATTGAGTTGCAGAATGCAAAAATCGTCATTTTTTAGACGTTACTCGTGCTCTTCTTTATCATATGCATGGGCCTAAACATTTTTAAAGTGATGTTGTCCTCACTATTTGCTATCTCATTAATTGTATGCCTTCCTCTGTTTTGGACCCTGCATCTCTTCTCTCTTTTGTTTCTTTCCTCTCAACGATACTCGTAACCTCTCAAGATTTTTAGGTGTGTTTGTTTTATTCATAACTTTTGTCCTGATCATGACATACTTAACTCTCGCTTTATGAAATGTATTATCCTTGGTTATTTAGAAACACAGAAGGGGTATTGTTACTATAATCATCCTCTACGATGCTACTTTGTCAATGTGGATGTCACTTTTGGCGACTCCACTCTCCATTTCTTTGATCATGATATATTTCTCGAATCCACTCAGGATCTCGTTAGCTTACTTGTCCTATATCTCCCAGTTGGTGTTTCTCCAATACCAAACTCATCTTCATCTATTGGACCAAAGTCGTCCCCCTCTCACAGGGAACTACCTCCTCCTTTACAAGTTTATACTTGACGATCTGAGCCACCAACGCCTGTAGCCTCGTTCGTCGCCTTGCTATCTACAGATCCTACACTAGTCATCAGTTCTGACCCGAAGTCATTGTCAATTGCTCTCCTTAAAGATAAATGTACTTGTGCCACTAAACATCCTATCGGCCACTATGTCACTTTTGATTCATTATTGCCATCTTTTTCCGGTTTCACATCCCAACTTTCTAGAATTTTGGTATCTAAAACAGTGATAGAAGCTTTATCTCATCCTAAGTGGCGAAAGGCTATGGAATTGAAAATGGCAACCTTTCATGATAATAAGACTTGGGACCTTGTTCCTTTATCCCTTACATACATTTTGTTGGAAAGTCTATGTTCCAAAGTTCAATCCTGATGGAAAGATAATATCCTTCTTCTCTCCAAGTTTATATGTGACAGTTTTGCTCGATAATTTCTCCTTTGTATTGCCTTTGATTTATAAAATAGTACATAGCTATATATGGAAATTATATAAGGGAAATAATCCCTAATTTTGTGTGCTATACATGGTAATAAAATAAACTAATATCACTAATTTGCCTAATTACCTCTAATGATATGTAACCTATTTCTTAAAAATTCTCAAGTGAAAACGTACTTCTTTTCAGGATTTCAATTTCAGATACATTGTTCATCTTGAGTCAATTAAATAATCCTGACATTTAAGTTGACTTGTTTATTTATTCTCTGCAATATTTTGGTGCTTAGATAACATATGGTTTTGATGTTTTTTATTGAGGTCGTAGATGATATATCTGGACTTTTTTGTTGACGACAAGCATCCTGTGCTAAAACCTCTTCATCTTTCTTCATGTCTATGACATAATTTTGTTGTAGCTCATCTATTTTTAGGTGACTAAGCACTACAAGTTTCTAAAACTGTCACCCGCCTCGCCCGAAAATTTCAAGTAATTTTTAGTTTATGCAAACTGGAATTTCAGAAAGCCTAGGACCATTTGTATCTGGACTTTGTCTGTAGAGCATGGGACCAAGGGTCTTTGTCAAGGAGATCCTACGTGTCTTCTCTGGTTCACCCTTGTGACAAAGGTCATTAGTTTGCTTATGAAGAATGTTTCAAACGAAGGGATGACCGAAGGTTTCTGTGGACTGCCCCTTATTTCGACCTAGAAAATAAACTGGACATAAATATAGGAGAAGAGTATTCTCTCTTTCATTTCCTGCTCTCTCCTTTCAAGCTGAGGCATAGATGTCAGGCATGCATAACTTGGGTAAACAAGTATTGCACTCATTTCTTGCCAAGCCCTTCATGAAGGAATCTACAATCTCATCTCCAGAAATATATATGGCAGGCACAAGTCACCTGAACCCAACTCGTCGGTGATGAAGTACCCATGAGAGTCTGAATATGCATCAGCAGTAATTCTTAATAGGATTTGCAACTTCATTGCTTCTTTGTCATCACAACATGGCTTAAACCTTACTTTTGTCTGGAGGAAGAATTTTCTGATACGACAGTTCTGCATGACAATGAGTGATTCCTATATTTTGCATCTGCAACAGATCAGAGGCAAACACTTTGCTTGGTCATACAACACGATACCACCAAATAATGTGCAATGCTTAGTAGTAGAACTATTATTATCTTTAGAACCTGCCAGGTGAGCATCAATGTATATTCCCAATTGACAAGTTTTAACCTATTTTATAATACTATCTACACTCATAAAGGGTTCTTGGTGAGTGCAACAGGGCCTTGTGGGGGGTGGGGGTGGTCTTTAAGATTGATTGGTAGAGTGGTAATCCAAGATTTGAGTGTTATTCTTCAAGATCCAATATCCATAATTGGAATCGCTAATCCATGGAACCTTGGAAAAAGTCGAAATACGTTTGATTTAATATGTTACTTTTTCTTTCATTAAGTAAAAAAATGATTATTTTGGAAGTATCTCTTACGCGTCAAATTAAGTAACTTTTTCCAACTTTAATCAGTTATAATTATTCATTTTAAAATTCCAGATAAGTGAACTTTTTATGCTTAACCAAGCATGACTTTCCCTCTACCTGAAAATACATTTCTGCTGCCGCTGACCAAACCATAAAATTCCACTCTTTCAGCTTCACTGGAGTAATCTGAAGGGCATGATTTAAGTGGCTGCAGCAGAAGATACATCACCGTTGTTTTTAGAAGACATATCTAACTCATCAGAATATGTTTCTCGTCCTTGACAAATCTGTAATAAGATTTGGGCTTGAGATTAATGAGAGTATACAGATGGCAGAGCTAACGACCTGTGTTTGAAAGTGTAAGATAACAGAGAAATTGTAAGACTGTTTTCTCTTATTTAATTCCAAAAGAGAGTACACGTATATATACAAATATAATTTATCTAATTATGGAAATTAGCTAATTAGGTTCTATAAATCTGTAAATTATACAGCTAAATTATTCTGTAACACTCCCTCTCAAGCTGGAGCGTAGAGATTGATCATGTCTAGCTTGTTACAAAAATACTCAATCCGGTTCGCATTCATTGCCTTTGTGAAGATATCTCCAAGTTGCTCTCCAGTCTTCACATAACCAGTAGAGATTAAATTTTCTTGGATTTTCTCACGAATGGAATGATAGTTAACCTCAATGTATTTAGTTCTTTCATGGTATACTGGATTTGAGGTAATATGAAGGGCAGCTTGATTGTCCCACCAAAGTTTTGTTGGTACTGACGATTTCAATCCAACCTCAGTTAAAAGATGTTGTACCCACAAAATTTCACATGTGGCCTGTGCGATGGCTCTATATTCTGATTCTGCACTAGATCTGGATACGACATTCTACTTCTTGCTCCTCCAAGACACAAGGCTTCCAACAGCAAAGACACAATATCCTGTAGTGGACTGTTATCAATTTTGGATCCAGCCCAATTAGCATCTGCAAAACACTCAATGCAAGTGTGTCCATGATTGCTCTACACTATGCCAATACTAGGAGCTCTTTTCAAGTAACACAGTATCCGTTCCAAGGTTGCCCAACGTTTTACTGTAGGTGTAGGTGCAGACATAAATTGGCTGACAACACTGATCACATGAGCAATATCTGGACGAGTCACTGTGAGATAGTTTAATTTCCCAACTAATCTCCTGTACTTTTCAGGATCATCAGAGAAGTCACCATCATCTATCATCTTTGCCAGCTTATCTGTACAACTCTCTGCCGATTGTTTATGGTCTTGGTGGCCTATATGTTGGAAGATGCTGTGAAGGATTTATGCACGTGAAGGAAAAGATTCTGAGAAGAGACACCGTTTGGTGAATTTAACTTGGTGGTTAGGGATTTAATTTTTTTTACTGAGGCTTTTAGGGCCAGTAGTTTCGATGTAGCATAAAGCTGTCTAAATCTGTGATCAGAGGTGGTGGGGTGGTGGGTGTTTGGAGAATCAAATCGTACAAACTGCCGTATGGCGTGGAAGTATATAGATGTCATTGGTGGAGTGACATTGTCAAATCTTTTAAGTTTATGGTGGAAAATATTGGTTCTGCTATAGCTTGTGTTTAAAGCGGAAAGTAATTATTCGTGTTTTATCTTAAAAAATATAATAGTGGATAAATCTAATTACTATTTCTTATTTGTAATAAAACCTGTCTTTTGTCTAAAATGATCCTTCCATGCTTATGATCTATCCTTCTGATGCTTACAGGAAGTACAGTAGAGTGAGGAAATGGACTCTAGGTTTGACGGGTTACAAAGACAAGATAGCCATAATTAGAGTCTCTGGAGCTATTAGCAGGACACGAGGTTCACTGAGTGTGTCCAGCTCAGGGATTATTGCTGAGAAATTCATTGAGAAAATTCGCAGCGTCAGAGGTATGCAATATCTGTCTATATATGAAATATGTTATTAGTCTATTTTTATGTAAATTTCACGTTAACGTGCCCGGGATTCCTGGATGAACACTACAGAATAATACGCAATTTCCATGCAAAACAACAAAAGAAGAAATAGATTGAGATAAAATATTGATAACTAATCTATAACCTGATAGAAGTTTCTAACTATACTTGTTCCACTAAAAAACTGAGAGAAAATACATTAATCAACTAGAATGAATTGATCTCTGTCAAGCTAAGTCCAAAACATCTAAAGAAGAAATACCTTTGAACATAAACGGAATAAGTTGAAGTTGAATATGTGAATTGTTATTATTATTATTATTATTATTTTTTTCAAGTAATGGACCTGTATAATCAGAACTAATAGGAAAAATGGGAAGAAATAAGAAATATCTTAAACTTGAAAAACAGCTAGAATCAGCCTTTGACCTTCCTATCTATAGGAATTTTGATCCGTCGACGCTGACTCTCATGCGGGAAAATACATATTGTCCATTTCCAGCTTATTTTTATCACCCAGAATGCTCGACTTGGAAGCCTTCCCGTCAAAATATCTGTCAGTTGTCCTTCCCATTAAAATTGCAAATTAAGCCACTATCTAACTTTGGTTTGATGAACCACTTACCAACTTCCACATATTTTGTACGATCAAGTTGGAAAATAACCTGTTTTCGCAATGCAACTTCATTATTCCTTCTCATTTTAACTTTAAGATCATTAAAGAATAATCTTAAGCCAAAGAAGCTTGCATAATCCCCTTTACCATGAACATGAACACTGCCTCATCACCAGAATGAATTATTTGCTTAAAAATGATTTTATCATCTTCTATTTTGCCAGCGAGGACTTCTTGTTCCTCAACCTTTGTATTAAATTCTTGTTTTTATATTTCTAAATTTCTTTTCAATCCAAGGGGAAAGAACACTAAAATATAGCTAAATTGTTTCTTTACCCTTGAATTTTGATCACGTACATTTTTCTAGTCTGGTTGATACTCTTAAGACTTTTGCAGAGTCAAAAGTATATAAGGCTGTTGTCATTCGTATTGATAGTCCTGGAGGGGATGCTCTTGCTTCTGATTTGTAAGTGTTCTTTTTTATTGCATAAAAATATTTGGGACTTGAAAACCTATACAACCACACATTTTATTGTATTCGCAAGTATTTTTCTACTCTGTCTTTTTCTTTCTCATTTTGATGTGTAAGAAGTTCAATATATATTTCAACTAGCCACTAACGCTACATCCAAAAATTGCCTTTCTTTCACTAAGTCCCTCAATTAGTAGTGCTTGTATATTCCAAATCCTTCTTCATCTATATGCTAGAACTTTTCCTCTGACCTTGTACCCAAATTTCCATTATATTATTCAAAAACTATGGAGAAATGACTTTGATGTCTGTATAATGTCAATTGTTCGATAGGCTAAGGTGGCAAGAATCACCTTTTCTCCTAGATTCTGATTTTTCTGGGATGAGGTATAAAAAGGTTGAATTTCATTGCTGAATTTTTCAAACCAATCTGGAAGAACAACTCAAAAGCTTCCATCTAGTTACCCTTCATAATAGCCCAACAATCTTAAAATAAACCCAAATAGAAGCCATCCAAACCCGGAAATATCACTATCACTAATAAACCCTGCACCTTGATTTTCTCTAGTTCATAAGGTGGTATTTAATCATTCCTTCATATCCATAAAAATAGAAAACCATTCAGAGCCTATATTCCCATTTTTACTCTCATAGTTACAGGGTTACATCTCTCGAAATATCTTCAATGCTATCAAGAATCCCTCCCTCCTTTTCCTCTAATTGGCCATTCACATGTTTTGACTTCCCATAGCCTTGATTATGCATTTCCCTCTTTGATCCATCTATTTATTATTTTTCAGTTCCAAGTTGTCGACTGCTTAAAGGTTATAGCTTTCGTGTTCTAGCAATCAAACACTTAGTAAGTTCTTCAGCTAATATACCCTCAGGGTAATTGATCCAAGCTGTCCAACCTAGCTATGATGTGCCTTTTTCAACTCACCTCCAACCTTTTAACTTAGCCCTAAACATAGGGTTTCGTAACAACATGTTTTCAAGCCTAAAATTAGTGACTATGATACATTGACACGGACACGTGTGTCGGATACGTCACCAAAAAGTACTGGCAGAACACGTTATCGACATGTTGATTGAATTATTTAAAATTCTTCATTTATATATTATAAATTTAGTTTTATACTTGTTATTAACTTTCTTATTGAAATCTTTTAACTATGAGTATTTATTTGTTATTTATTAATAACTTTAAGTTAAAAATATATAATATTTCTAATTTAAAAGAAAAATGATTGTAGTAGAGTGTCTCAGAAGTGTTGGTATCGACATGTGTCAAATAGGTGTTGGACACGGACATCCTACGCTAGTTAAATTGTCCGTTCTACAGAGATTAATGGGACTTTGTTTAACAGAAGTGTCTAGAATGATTGGAAAATTACCTGATATTGCCTTCGCTCCGGCCTCCAAACTTATATCCGGATATTTTCTTGTCCCGACCCAAAGTACTCAAAAACCTATACGTCAGACCACATTCTCTCTTAAATTAGAGAAACTAAACCTAGCTTGTCAAATGGGAACTGTCAAATATTTTCATGCTTTAGTTAGCCTAGAACTAGATAACTTTTCATGAACAAAACTCACTACACTACATACACTCCCACCACACCCATCCACACCACCACAAGGACCACATATCACAAGTGGTCATACTAACTTCTAGGACTTCAAAGAATGTATTTTTGTCAAATATTCCAATTAGTATCTAATGCAGAGAGTGATAGAGGAAGAAGACCACAGTAAAAGGGATGACGAAAACTTATATTGAGTCATAACTGAATACAATTATTTATAGGACATAAATAAAATATCAATGATCCTACCTACCAAACTTAAATATATTCTAATCTTCTAAACAAGGAAATAAATATATGTTAACAATAATAGTTTCATAAGATATGGTAGTCAATAATCCTTCAAATCAGCCCTAAATATCTCAGAATTTTCAACACTCCCCCTCAAGCTGGATGATACAAGTTAAATAATCCAAGCTTGTCCACCATTTTCTCAAACAAAGGTTTAATAGTCCCTTGTCAATAAGTCCACAACCTGTCCAGGTGAAGGCACATACATCAAGCATATAGTCCCATTTTCTATCTTCTTTTTGATGAAATGTCTGTCCACCTCTACATGTTTAGTTCTGTCATGATGAACGGGATTATGTGACATTGCAATGGCTACCTTGTTATCACAGTACACTTCCATGGGATTATTCTCCTGGATACCAAGTTCATCTAACAGTAGTTTTGACCACATTATTTTTCAAATTCCATGTGCTAGGGCTCTGAATTTAGCCTCTTCACTACTTCTAGCCACAACTGATTGCTTCTCACTTCTCCAAGTGACTAGATTTCCCCGCACAAAGGTACAATAACCAGTTGTAGATCTTCTGTCCATTAGTGATCATGCCCAATCAGCATCGGTAAATGTTTTAATAGACCTTTCTGAATTCTTTCAGAAGAAAAGTCTAAGTCCAGGAGTCCCTTTTAAATATCTCAAAATTTGATAAACAGCTTCCATATACTCCTCAAATGGGGCATGCATAAATTGACTTACAACACTTACTGCAAAGGCTATGTCAAGTTTGGTGTGTGACAAATAGATGAGTTTACCCATTTGACGCTGATATCTTCCTTTATCAATAGGTGTACTTCCTGAGCAATCCCCTAGTTTGTGATTGGGGTTTTTGTACATCAGCTGGCTTACTTCCTAGCATTTCCATTTCTCTTAAAAGATCTTAGACATACTTTTTCTGTGAGATAGAGATTTCACTCCTGTTCCTAGCAACCTCTAGTCCAAGAAAGTATCGCAAATGACCTAAATCTTTCATTTCGAATTCAGTCAAAATAGCCTTTTTCAATCTCTTCATTTCTTCATAGTTATCACCGTCAGGACTATATCATCTACATAGACTATCAGAATAGTGATTTTACCACCTAAGTATGTGTAGAATAGTGTATGATCAGACTGGCCTGTTTGTATCCTTGTTGACATATAGCTTTCACAAACCTACCAAACCAGGCTCTTGGAGATTGCTTTAGCCCATATAAGGATTTTTCCAGTTTGCAGACCTTTCCTTGGATCTTAGCTTCATCAAACCCAGGGAGAAGCTCCATATATACTTCTTCTTCCAAGTCCCCATTCAAGAAAGCATTTTTTACATCTAGTTCTTGAAGATGCCAGTCTAGATTTGCTGCTAGTGTCAGAAGGGTCCTCACTGTGTTTAATTTTGCAACTGGAACAAATGTTTCCTGATAGTCAACTCCATAGGTTTGTAACTACCAACCTGGCTTTATAGCGTTCCACTGATCCATCTGATTTGTACTTAATAGAAAAAACCATTTGCACTCAACTGTTGACTTATTCTCAGGTTTATTTACAATCTGCCATGTTTTATTTTTATTCAAGGCTGCCATCTCTTCCTAAACTGCTTTTCTCCATTCTGGAATTAACAATGCTTCATGAATAGACTTTGGTATCTCAATTGATGACATATTAGCAATAAGAGCCTAAATTGATCTGGACAGATGACTCTATCCAATGAACTTGGAGATAGGATGTTGTGTACAAGATCTGACCCCTTTTCTGAATGCTACAGGAACATCCAAATCATTAGTAGATTCAATTTGTTTGGTAGAGGGATTACCAGAATTCAAAAAAGATTCATGGTTCTGCGATCGAACTAAGAGGGGTTCTACCGTTTCAGGATTTTTTCTCCTTGAATAAACATGTAGCTCTAGTTGTCTTGCAAGTTGTTGTTCTCCCCCTGTCATTAAACTTGGTTGTACAAAGGGATCAACATGTTGTCGATTAGAAAGTAGAGATAGATTAGTGGATGGAGAGTGTTCTAAGACATCATCAGTGGGAATTGGGACATCTTGAGTAGGTGACACAAGTGACTGTGGTGTAATTTCCCAAAAATTTCCATCATAATTATCATTGTTATTGAGTTCCTCTCCCTGAGGGGATTTTTAGGAAAAATAAGGAAGGGATTCAAAGAACGTGACGCCCATAGATATGTATAAACTAATATGAGAAATAAAGTTCTATATTGCCATAATTTTGTAAGTTTACAATGTTCACTTAAATAGAAGTACAAGGGAGCTAATCTAGGAAATTAACAACTGTGTACAAGGGAGCTAATCTAGGAAATTAACAACTGTGTACAAGGGAGCTAATCTAGGAAATTAACAACTGTGTACAAGGGAGCTAATCTAGGAAATTAACAACTGTGTACAAGGGAGCTAATCTAGGAAATTAACAACTGTATAAAATAAAATCATCCTTACTAATTTTCTTGATTCTATCTTTGACTCAATCTCCTATATTTACACCACTATCACCTTAATATTCGGTATAAATGATAATGAATATTCTCCTTTCCAACACTTCCCCTCAGGCTGGCTTATAGATGTCTTCCATTGCTAGCTTGCTTATGAGAAGTTCAAACTGCCTCTTGTGTAGTCCTTTAGTAAGTATGTCAACTCTTTGTTGAGTAGTTGGTACAAAAGGGACACGGATTAGGCCACTCTCAATTTTCTCCTTGATGAAGTGTTTATCGACTTCTATGTGCTTCGTTCTATCATGTAGAACCGGATTATGAGCAATCGAAATAGCAGCCTTGTTGTCACAGTAAACTTTTATGGGAAGTGCAACCGAGATCCTCAAGTCTTTTAGCAACCTCTTGATCCACATCATCTCACAAATTCCATGTGCAAGGGATTTGAACTCAGCCTCAGCACTACTTCGTGCTACAACGTTTTATTTTTTACTTCGTCATGTGACTAGATTTCCTCCAACAAAAGTGCAATATCCTGAAGTTGACCGTCTGTCAATAGTGCTTCCTGCCCAATCAGCATCCGTATAGGCTTCAACCTGTAGATTATCACGTTTTCTAAACATCAGACCTCTTCCAGGTGTTCCCTTTAGATATCTCAATATTCTGTAGGCTACATCAAAGTGTTCATTTCCTGGTGAATGCA